TATATATATATATATATAAAGGAGCGCAGCACCCACAAGGAGGCGGCGCGGCGCATCGGTTAAGATGCTTTCGCAGCCTGTCCTTAAACTTTAAGCCCTGAATATAAAGAAAGTCATTATTATTATTATGTTCAATTTGCTGTAAAAACGCACGAAAAGCTATACATGCCGTGTGAAGAAGAGGCAGAGGGACGCAACCACCATATATGGAAGCAAAAGCAAAGGTGTATAGGAGGAGAAGAAGAAGAAAATAAGAAGAAAATAAGCACTCGAGCTGCAATAAGCCCTATGTAGGTGCTTGAAAAAATAAATAATTGTTGTACTGCATGCGATGCAAGGAGAAAGGTGTTGTTTACATTGAAGAGGGAGAGGGGAGAATACAGCAGAAGAAGACAAGACATAAGAAGAAAAGTTTGGAAGGTGTTGCTTCATTCATTTAAATAAAGAGAAGCACAGCTGCAGAAAGCAGGCAGCTTTATTTGAAAATGCTTGAATGCAAGACGAAGATGCTGAGGGACGGACTCTATTTAAATAGCAGCAAGACGAACATAAAACCATGCAAGAGCAAGATAAGTTTATTTGTTTGCTATATTTTGTGCTGTTTCTTCTCGCTCTTCATTTGTTTCCTTCTTGGTATTCTAGGGCCTTCGCCGTGCTGCAAGACATGTGCTTGTTTAGCAGCAACAGCGAAGAGACAGAAACGAGGTGTATCTGCTCCTGTTTGGGGTGTACGTACACTGCACGATACATCCCTGGATGAACTTCTTTTGTTAGTTTCTTTTGCTGTTGCTGGCGCCCTTGCGGCGCTTGCTTCTGCCCCTTCGTCTTCTCCTGTGCCTTGCGTTCTTGATCTGTTTACTGCCTCGTTCGGGTGTATGTTGAGTTTGAACTGAATACGAGATGCTGTCTAATTCGCGTAGAGACATCCCTTAAACGTCATGGGGTGTCTGTACAAGGCGAGTTGCAAAAAGACAGCCGTGCAGCAGCAGCAGCAGCAGCAGCAGCAGCACCCGTAGCAGCAGCAGCAGCACGTGCGCCGTCATGCCTCAGACCGCGGCAGCAAATGCCGTGTGTGTTTTAATTCCCAAAGCCAGTGTCGATCCCGCTGCAGCATGGTGTGCGTTGCTGCTGCAGCAGCAGCAACAGCAGCAGCGGCGTATATTGCTGCTGTTGCTGCTGCTGCTGGGTGGCCTGCATGCTACGAGCGCTCGCCGTGCATGCGCTTGGCAGCAGAGCCGGTGCTGGAAGAATTCGTCGCGCGGTGTACGTACACCAGACGCGGCCGCGAAGGGGATATCTGCACAGAAGCATTTTGAAGACTCCATAAACTGAATTAATTAAAGAGACAGAACAAATAAAAGAAGCTATAAACAGACAGAGACAGAGTAGAGGAGACTGCTGTTTATATCGATCAGAGACAGAGAGACAGCAACAAAAGCGCAGAGACTAGTACAGACAGAAAGGGAGACACAAAGAAAAAGATGTTGAGACAGACACAGAGACACACAAAAAAATAAAAGTCTGCCATTTGCTAGGGGAGCGAAGAGACACAGAGACACCCCAGCATATATGTATATATATATATATATATATATATGTATACGTATAATATAATAAATAGGAGGAGGTATACACAAAAGAATAACACCGAAGGAGACAGACAAACACTTGCGGGCAGCTGGGTGGTGAGGAGATGCGCTGCTGGCCTTAATCCTGTGCTGCTGCTGCTGCTGCTGCTGCTGCAGCTGCTACATAAAGGCTCACTAGCTACCTAAGCGCTCTTTCACGGGAGCATTATTTCCAGCAGCAGCAACAGCAGCTAGAACAGCAGCTAGAACAGCAAGAACAGCAGCAACAGCAGCAATAACAGCAGCAACAGATTAGCAAAAGGAAAGCAGCAAAGGAGATGCCTCTCCGCTGGTGTCGCTGCTGCATGTGTCTCTGTTAATAAAAGACCCGCTGCTGCAGCACAACAACCCTGCGCCTTCGCGCTGCTGTGGGTGGGGCAGTGGCTGCTGCTGCTGAGGGTGCTGCAGCAGCTGTTGCTGTTGCTGCTGTGGGGGCTGCAGCAGCTGCTGCTCCTGCTGCTGCGGGCACTGCAGCAGCTGCTCTAGACGCCCGCTGGCAACACCTGTGCAGCGGTTGCTACCTTCCTGATACAGTTGCTGCTGCTGCTGCTGCTGCTGCTGTTGCTGCTGCTGCTGCAGTTGCCCACGCGGCTGTTGCTGCTGCTGTTGCTCCTGCTGCTGTTGCTCCTGCTGCTGCGCTAGCTGCTGGCACCTATTTTCTTCCTTTGGCGAGACCTGCTTCTGCTCTGCTGCTTCCTCCTGTCGATTTTGCCTTTGCTGCTGCTCCTGCTGTCGCTGCTGCTGCGATTGCTGCTGCTGCTGTTGCTGCTGCTGCTGCGATGGCTGCTGCTGCTGTTGTTCCTGCTTCGGGGGTTGCGGCTGCGACTGTTGCTGCTGCGGCGATTGCTGCTGCTGTTGTTGCTTCTGCTGCAGTTTCTGCTGCTGCTGTTGTTCCTGCTTCGGGGATTGTTGCTCCTGCTGTTGCCGCTTCTGCGGTTGCTGCTCTTGCTGTTGCTGCTGCTGCGATTGCGGCTCTTGCTGTTGCTGCTGCTGCGATTGCTGCTCCTGCTGTCGCTGCTGCTGCGATTGCTGCTTCCGCTGTTGCTGTTGCTGCTGCTGTTGCTGTTGCTGCTGTTCTGTGCGTTTCTTAGGTTTGCATCTTCGTGTGTGTGTGCTGGGAGTGTTTTGCTTCGGCTGCAGCAGCAGATTCTGCTTACGAACTGCCGCGGCATCTGACCGTCTTCTCGTTGGTGCTGCTGCTGCTGCTGCTGCTGCTGCTGTTGGTGCTGCTGCTGTTGCTGCTGTTGCTGCTGTCGCCTTGGATGGTGTTGGCTGTGTTGCTGTTGCAGTCTGTGGTGGTAGTTCTGTTGCTGCTGTTGCTGCTGTTACAGCTGCAGCAGCTGCTGCTGCATTAGTTTGTGTGTTGGTTTGGAGTTGTTGTTTTGCTGCTACGGGTGTAGAAACAAATGAAGAAAAAACCTGATGCAGCATGCGGTGCTGCAGCAGCTCAAGGACAGGCAGCTCGTTGCTGCTGAGCCCCACTTCTATTGCCAAACTAAACAGAGTTTCTTCGAGAGGCAGCAAAGCAGCCTCTTCGCTCTCTGCTGGGTCTTGTGCTGCTGCTGCTGCTGCTGCTGCTAGTTCTGGGTCTGCTGATGCTGCTGCTGCTAGTGCAGGGTTGGCTGCCGCTGCTGCTGCTGCTGCTGCTAGTTCTGGGTCTGATGCTGCTGCTAATGCCTGGTCTGCCTCTGCTAGTGCCTGGTCTGCTGCTGCTGCTGCTGCTGCTGCTGGTAATGCTGGGGCTGTTGCTGCTGCTGCTGGTAGTGCTGGGTTTGCTGCTGTTGCTGGGTCTACTGCTGCTGGGTCTACTTCTGCTGCTGCTGCTGCTGTTAGCGCTGTGTCTGTTGCTGTTTGTGACGCTGCATGCGCTGCTGCTGATTGTGGATTTGCTGCTGCTACCCGTGAGCCTTCGGCAGCTAATGCAGCAGCAGCTGCTGCTCCTATTGCTGCTTGTGCTGCAGTAATGTCTGTACCTGCTACTTCTCCTTCTGTCTCATCTGCTGCTGCTGCTGCTGCTAGTTGCCTCTGAACTGCTGCTGCAGCTGCTGCAGCTGCTGCAGCTGCTGCAGCTGCTGGTGGCTGCTGCTGAAGTGCTGCTGCAGCAGAATTTGCGCAGTTGGTATTGTGCTGCGTCTTTATTGTTTCTTTTTGTGTTTGTGAATAAGCTGCATATACACCTGAAGATAAAGAAAGAGAAGAAGAGAGGGGCATCGCAACCAACTCAGCCTCCAGCTTCGTTGCCTCTGCTAATCGCTCAGCTAGAGAGCGCCTAGCAGCTGCTAACGCCTGCACGCAATAAACCCTAAACCCTAAACCCTAAACCCTAAACCCTAAACCCTAGACCCTAAACCCTAAACTCTAAATCCTAAATGTCTTCTGCGTCATTTTGTAGTCATTAAGAGCAGCTTGCTTCTGGTGGCTTCGGTTTCGAGCGGAGGGTTTAGGGTTTAGGGTTTAGGGTTTAGGCCTGAAGGCTTACGATTTCTAACTGGGGGTGTAGGGTTTGGTGTTTAGGGTTTCTAGTTGAGTAGGGGCGTGCAGCCCCAAGCTGAGGGTTTAGGGTTTAGGGTTTCAAATGAAGGGTTTAGTGCAGCGAACTGAGGGTTTACGGTGTCTAACAATGAGGGTTTAGGGTTTAGGGTTTAGGGTTTACCTGTTTCTGTTTCTGTAGAGCTGTATTTAATCTGCAGCTTTTGTTTATTGATTGAGAGACACTGAAAGGAGACAGACACGCAGAGAGGAGACAGCAGCATAAAGAACAAGAAAGAAGGTTAGCAGCAGCAACAGCAGCAGCAGCAGCAGCAGCAATAGACAAAGACTGATGACAACAGCAGCACTCACAGAAAAAGATATATGCACAGACAGCCCAAGCAGAGAGTAAAAATGAGCAAAGATTAAAAACAAAAAGAAGAGATAAATAAAAATATTTAAAAGAAAAAGATAGACAAAGACAAACGCACTTAAGGAGACACCAGACAACATCACGCAGCAGCAGCAGCAGCAACAGCAACAGCAGCAGCAGCAGCAGCTCGAAGGCACGCAAGCAACAACACAAGCAGCAGCAGCAACAAATGCTGCAGCAGCATTTGTAGCTGCTGCTGCAGCCACAGAAAAAACAAACGGCAACACCGGGCAATCACCAAGCAGCAGCAACAGCAGCAGCAACAGAAGCAGCAGCAGGGGCAGCAGTAACAGCAACAGCAGCAGCAGCAACAGAAAGCGCAGCAGCACAAGCAGCAGCAACAAGAACAGCAACAGCACCAACAGCAACAACAGCAACAGCAACAACAGCAACAACAGACAAAAGGCATAGGGAAAGGCAGAAAGAGAATCGGAACAGCAGCAGCAGCAGCAGCAGCAGCAGCAGCAACA